GATAGATAGATAGATAGATAGATAGATAGATAATAGATAGCCAGGAATTTTCTCATTATGTCGTAATTCCTTTCAGAGTGGCTATAAAATAGAAACCTTGTCAACTTCTTCTTTTTAGAAACATTTTAACATCTGTCTCCCAAGTGATCACACTCCTGCAAAGTCAACACAACACACACATGCTCTGCAATGGAGGATGAGCCCTTCTTCACGGACCTCTCAAGTGCTGAGAAAGAGCACATTTCTGTTGGTTTGTTTTCATCCCCAATGTGCTGTAAGCAGAAACTTTGTAAAATGGAATAAAAAGCGAGTCACTGGGAGATGGATTCTAAAACCCTAATGCATACCAAATGGAAGCTTGTATATTTGTATTACCAGATTTAACAGACACAAAATTACACTATTAAATTGTGGTGGCTTCCTAAACACCCTCAGTTGCTCTATTTTGACATTTTGTCTAGGGCCAGGTCCAGTGCATGGGCTGTGTTTTTAGTACCCACGCAAGCTGTTGTCATTCTGCTAGTACACAAAAGCACTCTTTGACCATCTCAACAAGAGTACCTGTGTACCCGGAACCTGGTGGCAGCTAGATTTTTTCTTGCAAGGGTTCATTCAAAATGACAGAGTCCAGGGGTCTGGAGAAATGACTAAGCAATTGAGCATGCTTGGTGCTCTTCCAGAGGACCCACGTTTGGTTCTTAGGACACACACTGGGTGGCTCACTTTCTGGAACTCTAGCTGGAGGGATCTGACACCCTCTTCTGTTCTCTGAGTGCGCTTACATGCATGCAGCACATACACAGAAGTAAATGTTTTAAATATATTAAGTCTTCTAAAAAAGATAGTGTAGAGTCTAGTTTGCAAAGAAGATGAAAACAAGTGTCATGGAAGGTTTAGGAAAATGAGAGTCGTTCCCTTTTTGCGCAGTCTCTCCTGACTTATCCTGATACTGTTGTTTGCTATTTAAAGTCCCTCTAAGTAAAGAAAATTTTAAATTGAAACTTCCTGAAATGAGTGTCATCTTTCATCCCTGCATCATACAATACCAGTTTTAAATTCCAATAGAAGAGTAGGTTCTGCCCTGTGAAGAATTGCCAGAATTATGCATTTTACATTCCATGGCCCAAACACATAAGTTGTCCCTTATAGTAACACTGACCCTTCTGCTCACAGATGAACAGGAAAGGAGTGTGGAACTTACAGCAGGTAATAAGGGACAGTGGGAGCCTTTTCTTTTCTTCTATGCAATTATTCCCAGCGTAAGAGGAGTGTGTGGACTTAACTTGGGCGAGCATGTGCTAGGGTATCTAGCCACTTACACATCTGTTGTGGAAATTACTTTAAGTATATAAGGATGTGCTGCATCTGTTTGTGCTGAATTTGTTTAACTATGTAAAGATGTGTTGCATCTGTTTCACCTTGCCTGCCTAAGGCACCTGATTGGTCTAATAAAGAGCTGACTGGCCAATAGCTAGGCAGGAGAGGAATAAGTGGGGCTGGCAGGCAGAGAAACTAAGTACAGGGAGAAATTTAGGCTCTAGAAAGAAGGAGGAGGAGAGAATGAAGGAGAAAGATAGGGACATCCCTGAGGCCAGAAGCCAGGCAGCTGCCAGACAACCAGACAGACATTGAAGCCTTGAAAGTTAAGAAGACAAGAAAGATAAAAATCCCTGAGGCAAAATGTGGACAAAAGAAACAGTTAAGCTATAAGATCTAGCAAAAAACAAGAATAAGATAAGGCCAGGCCTTCATAACCAAAAATAAGTCTCCATGTCATGATTTGGGAGCTGGTTGGTGGTCTAAAAGAAATCCTGCTATACACATGTTAGAACGCCATTGAGTTCTTGGTGAGTTCCAAGCCTCCCTGGCTCAGCTACAAAGCAGCCTTATGCAGTTGCCAGTTCTCCACTTAATCGCAAATGTAACCATTGCTTTTGTTTGCTTTGGATGTGGCTGAGCTCTTACATATCTGGAATCCACAGAAATTCTGTGCTCACAGGGACTGCAGAGGGATGCGAGCAATGCAGATCTGCACATCAGGTCTGCTCACACTCATGTTCTCTTGTCCTGTCAGTCTTCATCACAGAATGCTACTTGTTTTACGGTAAAAAGAGTAAAGTTAAACTTATAAAGTAGGCACAGTGAAAGAGTAATACCTAGGCCGCTACATAGCACAGTGGTAAGAGCACTTGAATAGCATGTGTGAGACCCTGAGTTATATTTCTGTGGTGGTGTGGGGAGACAGGGACACACACAGAGACATTCGTTTATATAGCAGAACAATTATGAACCATAATAAGACTTATTGGAATGCCTATGCATCTCCCCCTCTATGAAGATATGTTATTGCCTGGTATCCTCCAAAGTTTTCACCTCTGGAAAACACAGGTAAGTTCCATCCATACAGTCTTACTCATTCAGGATGGAGGACTGTTTGTTCTAATGCCAGAGGGCATAACCCTTTGCAAAGGCCATGGAGCCAAAACCCTCGAAGTCCACCCCCAGTCTCTTCCTCCAGAGAGGCCTCGATGCCCAGGGTCCCACAACCTCCCTGAACAGCACCCTTCCCTGATGACCAAGAAGAGTTCAAATGCATGAGCCAGCAAGGGGTAGCTGATGTGCACACCATAGCATTACTGAAGGTTGCTTACTAAATTCTGCTAATTTGACGATTCATTGTTCATTTAAAATTTTACCCACTGCTAATTTGACGATTCATTGTTCATTTAAAATTTTACCCACATCTGCCAATACACATCATGTAAATGAATGGAACCGCCAAAGAATGAAGAATGGTATTGAAACTGAGGTGATATGGACAGTTGATGGCTTCTGGGAGAGAAAGTTTTTATCAAGGGTGTGGCCATTGGTAGATCAACCTCTCTCCAGTGGGATGGTCCCACACCCAGAAGTATATGCACGGTACAAATTGGACTTAATGAGATTTATAAATAATAAACTGGGGACTTAGTAGATGAAATGGGAAGGTGGGAGTAGACCTGGGTTGAGTGGATAATGAATATGATCAAAATACTTTGCATGACATTCTCAGAGGATTAATAAAATATTATATTTAACAACTCACCTATATCTGGTATTGACTTCATTTTGTTTAAATTTTCATAAAATGGGTATTATTTGTACAGATTGTTAAATAGGTAACATTTTACTTAAAGTTTGTCACCATTTTTTCATTTGTACCTCAGGTTTTCTCATAGGGGTCAGAGTAAGTATGGTTCAAGTGGCTGAGTGGTCACTTAGTGTTTGTGGGGGCCCTCAGTTCAGAAATGGATGCTTGGCACCAAGTGGGGAAATATTTCCACTACTTGTAACACGGACACTTTCAATACGACTTTGTTGGGTGTTTCTTATCTGGTGGCACAGTTTTAACATTTAACCTCTGAAAACAAATTTTTTCATCTTGATGCTCTTAGTGTAGGCTTAACTTGGGGGTTATCACCCCTGAACTGGCATTGGGGAAAGGGTATTAGAATCTGGAGAATAAGACAGGTTTCATCTTGGCCTCATACCAAAGCTGGCATGACTTAAAGAGAAGCAGAACCTCTCTCCCCCAGAAGCAAACTTCGCTGTACAGCTGGTCATGGCTCCCTCTTCTTCCAAATTCTGACTTTGGTGGTGCATTCTATTTCTGCAGAAAACCATGCTTTCTGCCCTTCTTTTGGAAGCATTTACCAGGCCCCTCTCCGCTGGGGTTTCCTGCAATCTGGTATAAGTCAGACATGCTTTGAAATTCATTTTTTCTTATATTTTTTGCCTCTCTTTAACTAATATTTTTGTATGTTTGAGCCAGAATGTCAAAATTCCTTCTGCGCCTTTTTCAACGCATTTGAAATCCTTTATCAAGTTGTATATCATGGCAGTTAGATGTCCCCCAGACCTTTATCCAAAAAAAATGATGCGTCAAATACACAGCCTGCCAAGTTTCTCTGCCTGTGGAAAACAGAAAATATTATGTGCTTTTGCGTTCGGAATGAGATCTGACACACATATACATAAACATGTCTGAAATCCTCCTGTCTCCTCCAGACCGTCCCTTGAAAGATAGCAGGAGTGGCCCTTGGTGGGGACATCGGGAGGCTGGGGGAGACGCAGGGGGAAATTGAACTTTCCAAGATCAGTACTTAACATAAAAATTTCATCACAATCTTTATCATCTTGCCGTGGTTGCAGAAAAGGGCTAGGCTCCCTCCACCTTTCACTTCCTAAAGTCGCCTGTTTTACCTTCAAATCTGATGAAGTGTCAAAGTCATTTACCAGTAATGAGTTCTGCTGCAAATTTTATTTTGCTTGGAATTTAATTAATGGGCCAAAGACTTTCCATTGTGATTTGAGCAAATGAATAATAAATCAGGAAAGGAGATTTGTCAGGGAAGGAACATCTGTTTCTTACAAGCGTTACAACATGACTACAGCTTGGCTGGGCATTACCAGCACAAAGACAGTAGGAGTCCTCTCCCGTGCAGCTTCCTTCATTTATTGCTCCACTGAAGGTGAACACAGAGCACTCTAATGGGCCTCTGGTGTTAATAAAAGCTTTGCGCTTCTCCAGCTTGGAGGTGGCCTCTTCCTTGAGGGTGCTACTGTCCTTAGTCCATGGTTTGTTGAGCCATGTCAGGATTCTGCAGTGTCAGTACTTTATTGGATGATTAATAAGGGAAAGACAAATTCATAAGCAGAAACAATATGAAATTACCACCATATTAGTGTTTGCTGCCGTGTTTCTACAGGGGGGATGGGGGTAATGAGAATGTGATTGAAGTTAAGTACTTTGGCTTGCACTGTAGAAAAGGAAGAAAAATAAAAGGTCACTCGACCTGTTGGTTTTGTCTAGTTAACCAGTAACAACCTGCTGGAGACTTTTGTGGTGATGCCAGGGATGAGAGAGAAGAGAGGAGAGGAGAGGGGAGGGGAGGAGAGGGGAGGGGATGAGAAGGGTGGGGAGGGGAGAGAGAGAGAGAGAGAGAGAGAGAGAGAGAGAGAGAGAGAGAGAGAGAGAGGGGAGAGATCTATTGGGAGGATAAAGAACTCGCTTCCACTTTTTCTACTATTTATCACTGAAATGCACTTTGCTCCCACACATGGAGGAGGCCTAAGTGTCCGTGGGGTGGGAATAAATCGCGTTATGAAAATTTGCACTGCAGGGCTCACCATGACCCTTGTGTGATGTTGATAATATATGCAGAACGGTAATGGGCACTAATGTCACGCAGGAATAACCCCAGGTCCCACATGTTACCCTTCGGAGAAAAAAAACAATAAAACCTTTTCTAGAAGGCTGGTTAGGTTTGATAAGGGGAATTTCTAGATTTATGATTCTTTAATTTGTGTCTGGAACACCCCTCCCAGGGATGCTTCCCTGATAAACTGGATATCTCTCCCCAAACAGTTCTTTCCAGCATCTGGTAGACGTGTGCTGTCTGATATGCAGCCGTCGTGGAATCTCTGCCTCAGAAAGCTCTGTGGGGTGAAAGCAGGAAATGGTGACATCAGTGGTGGGATTGCAGAGGTGAAGACAGGGGAAGCTGTCATTTTGGAGGGAATCTTGTAGGTACCAAGTCAACATGACACTCTGAGCCTGCTCACACTTCTCAGTGCTCAGCAATCCAAAAAGTAACTCTACCACTTAATCATATACTGACATTGCCATGAACACTCTTCCAAATTCATCCATTTTAAACATGGGGGAAAAAAACCTCTTAATTTACTTCAAGAAATGCTTGTCAGGTGAAATAGGGACTTTTCATTCCAATCGAGTTTCAGAGCAATGACTGTTTTTACACGTGTTGAACACAAGCATTCCATACTTTAGTTGCTAAATCTGGCTGTTGTCACCAAGGACAGTTGCAGATATTCAAATTTCAGGCGATCAAGGTGTGATCTTCTGCCCACAGTGACTTAGCGTGTATCTACAAAGGAAGAGGGAAGAGAAAAGAGATCCTGTCACTGCTAAAATGCACATGGAGTGACATTTGAATGCACTACAATAATAAATCTGGTGTGTAAAGCAGACCCTAGCAAATGGGCACAGACTCTCTTTCTGAAAGTTAAAGGCACTCACAAGCATCTTTTGTACCTGAAGGGAAGACTCGATTCTTTTTCCCAATTGAATTAAAAATCATTGACCTTGAATAATATCCAGATACATCTGAAGTAGTCAAATGTCTACGTGTAGAATTTACCTTAGAAATGCATGTATGTGCAATGTGCTAAGAAACAAATGCTGTCTCCACGTCTGCATTTGACGTCAATCTTTTCAGTCTCCCCCACTGTTGACATTCATCCACGTCTCCATCACCATGAACCACTTATCACCAAGGACCCTGACAGCCGCTCTCCTTCTCTTCTAGGCTGTTCCAATACAACGCCACTAAATCTACACATGAAGCAATCACTAAAAATGTTATCCCTGGCTACAGTGGCCATTCATATCGTATCTGGCCTGCTTTCATTTCATTTCAAATATTTCATGTGAATATTTTAATTTCTCACATAATGAATATTTATGGAGTTGTTTTAGAATGATCTTCGAAACAATGATTATGGCAGCAGACAACATCCACAGTTCTGTTTCCTCCTTGGATTAGTTGGCTGCATTGGGAGGGAGCAGAAGCAGGGAGCAGGGTTCAGACAGCTGTGGGTCCAACGCAGACAGCTCTCCAAGAGATAGACTTCGGTGAACAGCTCATCTTTATTACAGAGTATAAGGAATATATACGTTTGGGAAACCTGGAGAGAAACCCTAATTTGCATTAAGTGGCAAAGTCCTATCTTAAGGCTCTTAGCACAAGTCTTAGTTATCATATGTGCAGTGTGGGGGGGGCTTCTAGCAGGAATCTGTGCCAAGAGTCAAGCTAAAGATACATCAGGAACCAGGCTTAGACACAGCTTACAGACAGGGACAGTCTCTAGTTAAGGGCAAGCAAAGAGCAGGAAGTTTTACTACAGGGGAGGGAGTCCCATGTCATCAAATTTTGGAAAAAGCTGCCAGGCTATGATAGACTGCAATCCCTGACCAGCCAGCAAGGCCTCCCAAGAGCATTCCAGAATGATCTCTAACTTGTGTTATATTCCTTGAACTTTTTCCTTAACCCATTTCTCTCCATGAACAATTTTAAGTCATGTCACTTGGGATTTTTTTCTTTTTCTTTTTTTTTTTTTTTTTTGCGTGGGGTCAGGGGTGGTTCTGAGACAGGGTTTCTCTGTGTAATATCCCTGGCTGTCCTGAAACTTGCTCTGTAGACCAGGCTGACCTCGAACTCACAGAGCTCGGCCTCCCAAGTGCTGAGATTAAAGGTGTGTGCCACCGTTGCCCGACATCTGTTCTTTTTCGTTCTCCCCTCCCCAAATGTGTTCCTTTTCAAAATGAAATACTTGAGACGACACCCCTTGGGTGTGAGAAGGCTCACAAGACTTTAGATTTAAGGACTATGCACCTATCTATCCCGAACTCACAGGAAGGTTTTAGGATTGGAAGGTATCCAGGTCCCACCAGGAGATGAGTGCCCTTTCGTGCATCCATGGATATGCCTATAACCATTTATCTTCTGAGTCACAGGAAACAGGAAAAGATCCCCTCCCTGGACATATATACAGTGGCACCTCAGAAACTGGGAATCCACCCAGGCATGGTCAAGAACAAAACAATTAATCAAGGCAAAGGGAACAGAGTTGCAAGTGTATTATACCTCTGTGATTCCATCCTTCTTAATTGTCTGGGTAAATTATACGTTAAAGTGGAGCTAAGAGTTCTTGTATTTTATGTTTGAACACTTGGTATTAATTAAATGCCCAAGCTCATCTGGTATATTAGTCACCTAATTCTGGACATTAATCTTTGGTTTAATATAGTTAAATTGTGTGTGTCTGCATATAGTGGGCATTTAGATACAGGTGTGTTATGCACATACTCAGAACGGGACAGCAAAGGAGGAAATCAACTCTTTTACTCGGCTTTTGATTTTCGGAAATATACACTCATAAGGTCAAAATGCACTTATTAGACTGATTTTTGAAAGAAATTCAAGATTGTTTAAAATTTCCCAGTAATTCTTAGGGCCATAAAATACCAGGTTGTAGAGCCCGAATTCTCTTTGGAGATATTTATCACAAATTGGTTGAAAAAATTAACAGGTAAGTTTAGGAAAAGGGGAAGAAAATGAGAAATTGATCCTTCCTTAAATAAACAGCCCTCGCCCCTAAAAGGACTTCGCAGGGATGAAGTGAGCATGGTTGTTTCGTCTCGTTCTCCTCCCACGCTCTTCAGAACTCTGTTCCCTGTCGGTCTTTGCCTGGCTTCTGTTTCCATTTTCTTCTGTAAGTCAAGCCTTAAAAATCAGCCCAGAATGTTCCCGTTTGGGAGTGGAGGGCTTAAATGCCGTAGTCGATGACGTCATTTTCAAAGTGCCGCTGCTGCATCAGCTCACTCATAAAACGCTTCATTTCTACTTCGTCGTCACCATATGATGGCCCCCGAGGCGCACATCTCTGAGTCACATGAGGGACCTTCCCCGTGATTCTGAGCTGAATGGGCCCTCTTCCCACCCCCCTATCCAAGAATTTCTCTAACCGATGGGGTGTGTTGTAACCTTCGGGTGTGATGGAGCAGAAAAAAGTTTGAAGCCAAGCAATCAAATGAAAATGTTTGGCCAATTGCTAACCACTCTCCATTCTGTTGCCACACGTGATCAAACATCCAGGTAATCCGATAATCGATTATTGTCCTCTGTCCACTATTAGACAGCATACAAATGTGGCTTTTGACCCAGTGAAATTTCCAGACCTTTTTCTTCTACAGGTTTCTAGAAAAGCTAAGAGTCTGGAGATTTCATTTTATTATTATTATTATCATCATCATCATTATTATTATTATTATTATTATTTTGTTGTTGTTGGTTTTTTTGTTTTGTTTTGTTTTTTTCAAGACAGGGTTTCTCTGTATTGTTTTGGAGACTGTCCTAGAACTCGCTTTGTAGACCAGGTTGGCCTCGAACTCACAGAGATCTGCCTGCCTCTGCCTCCCCAGTGCTGGGATTAAAGGCATGTGCCACCAACGCCCGGCGAGATTGCATTTTATTTTATTGGGGGATTCAATGCTTGATGGGCAGTGGAATTTCTTTCTGTGTTTGATAATATTTTTATGAACACCTAATGATAATGCATAAATTTCTGTTCATAAATCAGAATCTAAAATAAGAGCCAACAGTTTGCACTGCAGTTACCACCAGTCAGAATCACTTCACCGAACTCAGGTGTTTGTTCAGGTTAAGCCATGGCTCCCACTTAGCACTGGTGAGGCCTGCTGCTTCCTGACCACCAGGAGTTGGAAGACTATCTAATGTTTTTAAAGAAATGGCATGTGTGAGCCCAACTCATGGGTTGGATACCAAGCCTGGCTGGAGATGCTCCCATGATGCATTGGAGTAGTGCCCCACACCTCTGTGTAAAACAAACTGGGGTTTTATAGATTCCTGACTTTGTTTATTTCAGTGTGGACTTAAATCAGTTTGTCTGAACTTTTGATACAACTTGCATAAAATTATTCTGTTTGTATTAAGCGAAACAGTTCTACAAGTAGACAGATCTGAGAACAGGGACAGCAAAAGAAAGGTCTGCCACAGCTCACAGACCAAAGTCATTGTTGAAGAACATATCATCTGTTGATCAATCAATCATTCTTGTAACACTCATCTTCACTGGAAATTTCAGACTGACAGGGGATCCAGGAAGATGGTCATAGCTGTAGACTACTAAGAACCTTTTCCCACCAACCTGATACATGTCTTAGTCCAGAACATCTCTGAGAGTCTAAATACTTGAGCGTGCAGCCTGCCTGTGATCATTTGCCTAAAGGCCAAAGACTGAATGAACACTGTGAATGTTAAAAACGCTGGGGTAGGAAGGAGCACGGGAGGCAGACAGAAATCCGTGTATGGATCCATTAGGAAGCCAGTGCCAAGGTCTCAAGAGCAGCAAGAGAGACCACATCCCTTCCTCCAAACACCTTCTTTCCCCGCATCAGAGAAAGAGCCCGTGTCTGGCTCACCCTTTGCCTGCATGCACTCCTCCTCCCTCTTGATGTTCTGTCGGTTTCTTCTCAGTTTCCAGGTCTTATTTATCCAGTGGAGAGAGCTTTCTTTTCAGATAAACTCAACTTCTCCTTAGCTAGCTAACCTCTCGCTATTTAACATGGCTGCTTCCTGATGACTCCCTTCACATCGCCTTATTAAAGTGTATTCTACTGCAAGCCAGGCGTGGAGACACCAGCCTGCAATATTAGCACTTGGCACTTGGCATGTTGAAGCGTGAGGAGCTGGAGCTCAAGGTCATCTCATAATTTAATTGTGTTTTTTTAGAAAGACATGGTACATAAATAATATTTCAAAGAACTGAATCAGCATGGTATAATTAAGCACACTGAAATTTCAAAATTCCCCACCAAATGAATGGATGCGTGCATGATGAATCTATGGATGGAGAAATAAAAAAGGCAATGTAGTAGATTTTTACTGCTGAAGAAATTCATAAAATTCTTTCTGCTTTTAGGGATTTTAGATATCAAAACAGTTGAAAATGGGTCTTGGGGATACACGTGTGCATAGACACACACAAATGCACATGCATATATATGCACATCCTTTTACACACATGAGCACACACACACACACACATGCACATACAGATTATCTATTTTATCATAACTTCTACCTATATCATTGCTTCATCAGAGTTGAGATGAGGTCTGTTTTACTTATCTGTGCTCCTAATGCCTGGCAACACAGCTGGCAGTAACTGATACTCAAAATATAGTTATTAAGTGTTTGAATGGATGAACAAAACTACATTGTTTTATCTTAATGAGTCTTGGCTGTCCACTGTGCTCCTGTAAAACACTGTGCCCGTGATTAAA